GCATTGCTGCAGATTTGTCAACACCAAATGCAAGCTTGGGGCAAGGCAAAAAAACAACAACAATCCAAGATCCATACCAAGACAATACAGAGTCCTGATAACACTGCACTTAAAAAAAATTGACTACCGATATGCCCTCCCTTAGCCAGACCTATCGCAAAACAACACACGACAAGACAAAGGCACAGGGCTCTTGCGAAGCCGGCTGGCGCTTGCAGGCCGAGCCCCTGAATAGACACCGATGATACCGCAAGGGCAGGAGCACACACCCAGCCGCCGTGACCTCTCAGACAAGCCAGCAAAAACACTGCTTTGCTTCTGCTTTGCTTCTGTTTTGGCCCCATTAAAATTTGCACAGCAATAATGAGGTCAATGCATTGCCAATTCTTTTATAAGTTTATCTGGAAATCTCTCAATTGTCCTCTCCATTGTTTTACTGCGACGTTACGTTGCGTGCTCGCGCATGCGATTTTGTTACGCTCTGTGGCAACTATGAGAGCCCGTTTCATTTGTGTTACAGTTGTGCGTGTCTCTGCGGACCCCCAACAAAAATCCAGTTTGGGTTTTCAAGCCAGCAGCAGCATCTGAACCACTTTGACCCACCACTTGGCTCCCCCTCCGCTGCCGACCTCGCAATGCGGCGACCAGCGCGAGGGCTCCCTCACCTGGCACGGGTCATGCCGGCGGTGTCTCGATGTTCAAGTGAATAGCCCCGAGCCTGCGAGGAGCAATGAAAATAAATGTTCTCAAAGACACCAGCCCCCTGTGGGGCCACACTCCGGGGGCCCCGCGCCGTAACTCAAGCGAACGGGGAGCGCCGTTTGGCACGGCACGGGCGCCACCGCCGCCGCGCCCCCACGCGCGACCCACGGCTCACCCGCAGCTCACCCGCAGCGGCGCTGAGATCACTCGGCTGGAATCCCGACGGAGCAACGTCACGCCGTGGCGGCGGCCCGGTTAAGACAACACTCCGCTCGGCAGGCCCTTAAAGCTTTCACCCCCGTTTCGAGAAAGAATGCTTACAACGCCGTCCGGCTCTCTGTTTTGAATAAGTTCTCCAGAGCTCAACGAACTGCAAAGGGCCGAGCTCCAGCAGGCCCGTCCGGAGCGGTGGGATCCGTTAACCCAGCGCCGAACTTCTGGGAACTACGAGCAACCCTCCACAGCCGATGTGCCACGTCGTCCAAAGCTGCATGGCGAGAAGCGACGCGAACGACTTGCAAGAGCCTTGACCAGCAGCGACGCCGCGACAGAACACGGACTACAACAATGACTGTGGGACGGCACCGAACACTTTCCAAATAAACACGGACACAGATGTCACATTGATGATAATACTCTGGGATGGAAAACAGCTTCATTGTCATGCTTTGTTTTTTTCCGTGTTTTTTTGTACTTTAAAGTTGAGTACAATAACTAAAAAAAAAATCTGTGGCATGTTAGTTAGTTATCAGCTGTAATTTGTACGTGTACTGAAGTTATCGTTTTATTCATTTCTAATAATTGCCAAACTTTGGATAAATCTTCCGTCTCTGCTGCAAATATTTTCGTCCTGCTTTAAACATGCACCACATTCCTTTGCGTTTGATAATTGTCCCATGCTTTACTCTCGGTAGCAGCCCATGATCGTTCCGGAATCGATGCAAACATTATCGCTTTGTGAGAAACAGCGCTCTTCCTTGGGAGAGACTGACCCCAACTGTGGCAATGTGGAATTTCCACCAATGCCTCCGGGCTGCCATTGGAGATAATTCCACGAATGAAGAAAATTCCACCTTTGGTTCGACTGATACCGAGAACGAAAGTCGTAGTCCCACTGCGATTTCTGTTGCTTTAACGAAGTCTCGTTGGGAGTGCGACAGTAGAGTACTAAATCAGTAAAAATAAGGTTTTGTACTTAAACTAATTTTTATAGTCGATGCCTCAGTCCACTGCAAGTTATAACTAGGGTAGCATCGCGAAAAAAAAACCACAATTCTGCTTACAAACGCCGTGCACTGCAAAGATGAAGATCTCCCAAAAAAACCTTAACAGACTGTTGGGGCAAGTGCTGTTAGCGAGCACCTATGAAGGCCGGCACGGTACACGAGGGGTTGGGTGGTCAACACCACGCTCGGCCGCCTTTGTCTCCCCGGTGGCGATGTTTACACACCGCACCAGGTCCTCATTTGAGGCCGAATCGACCTAACGAGGGCCCAGGATAATCGTCAGTGGTGTTGGCCGCGAGCAGGAATCGAACTCTTTGCCAGGACGTAGAGCAGCGTGCGCTAGCCGTGACGCTACCGCTCCCCACCACGCACCGCACACGCGCTCTAAATTAATACAACCGCGTGGCAAAATCCGCGCTGTCGTACAAGCGGTGGGCACCGCCGGCGTGTCTAGTGTGCGCAGAGGACAAACGCGAAAAAAAATACACATACAGTCGGCTGGGGGGGGAGGCAGCGAGAGGGCAAGAGCCCTCCACCGCCACCGTTCTGTCATCACCACGTCCGTCCGTCCGTGCATGCCGCGCCCGTCCGACGACAGACGCCAGCAGCTCGCTCCGGCGGAGAGCCGCACGTCAAAAGAGGCGCAGCCTGATGATAGACGCTCCGTGTTTTACAAAGCAGGCGACTAATTGGCCTGAACCAATTAGTCGGGCCTAAGATTATGGGAGACTATGGGGGTGCGTTTCTGCGTGGTAATCCCTCCCCCGCGTCACAATGGTTTTGTTTGTTGTGTTTGTGGGAGCGTGAGCTTGTGTGGGATTGGTTAAGTAAGTAATTGGATTTTTTACGAGTAACCGGAAGCTAGAAGTGTGCATCCAAGTATCACCGTTACCAACAGGAATGGTGTTTGGAACGTTATGTAAAATGGCATACAATAAATACGCGTTATGCGTATACGGATTATATCATTTAACAAGGTATATGATTGATTGTGCCCTTTTTTCATGGACGGCATGTGTATAAAAAAAACTAATTATTTTGCAGGGCAAACACGAATAACTTTTGTCGTTATTCTCCACACTAGGTCCCGGCGAAGCACAATAACTCTTATAAATAACCTCAATAAAAAAAATGTTTGGCACAGCTAAAAAGCAACCAACCAAAACTGTGTGTTTACTGCAGAATATGCAAAATAAAACGAATTGCCGAAGCCGCAAACCCGGCTATGACCAGCCCCAGCATCCGCGCAGCACCGAGTAACCAAACTCCCCGTGCTTTTCACCCACGAGTCGCACTCACAGACGGAGGGAAAGCGAGCGGGGAAGGGAACGCCGAGGGCGCTAGGTTTTCTCGTGGGCTCAACCCAAGACGAAGGCGAGCAGAGCTTGGGTCTCCCCCACCACAGCCACCACCACCGCCGCCGCCGCCACTCCCTCCTCCACAGCATCGCTCTGCAAGGCCGACCTCTAACCTCCACCAAAATAACACTCTGGAATGTTAAGGTTTGCGGACTTTCAATCAACGGGTAGTTACCGTGGCAACCTTTAGTCTCCGAGTAAAGAGGCAGACAGGGGCTGTTGAGCTGATGGATTTCTTGAGCCGGGGAGTAATGCCGTCAATCGTTTTACTTTTGTGCAGCTGGGATCAGGTTTTTTTTGTCTTTTTTTTACCGTTCGTGGAAATTAAATGAGACTTTACTTTTGTCTTAGGTTTCTTTTTACTTTACTCCTCTACAGCCATAACTTAAGAGTTGTTCAAAGAATGCATCACGCATTCTTTTTTAAAATAAAACATTTCACTTGTGAACACTTTAAAATGACATTTCAAAAGTTACGTATATTGTGATAAAATAAGGGAGCACATGAGCGCTTTGGTACAATGCTTTTTGTCTAAACCCGCTAGAAAAGTGACACATTGGGGCAGCTATGACTATCGGATAGCGTATTCAAATTCCGTCTGTATAACCCACACGGAAAAAGAATAAGCAACACTTTATTACATCGCTCGGTGAATGCTTCCTTCCGAAAATATTATCCCACATAATTCAACTGGCTTTGTTCGAAAACAAGTGCTGTTGACAGACAGGCGACGCTGACAACAGATCAACAGCAATAATCCGAACGTAAAGCTGAAGAAATTCTCTCTCCCGTTTCAGGAGGTGGCTGGGAGTTGCGAGGACTTGCACGGTTTTTGTCACCTCCCCCGGGCCCTGTCAAACCACAACATAAATCCCTTCTGCGTGCAGATATGTGCCTTTAGATCATATGGGGGGACCTGCTTTGCCGCGGGATTAGGGCCACGTCCGTCAGCCAGCAAGTGCTCACTCGCTGGAAAAGTAAAAAAAATACCAAAAAAATCGTTCAGAAGCCATTCCCACGTAAAATATTTGGCGGCGAAGTGTCGCGATGAACACTGCTTCCGCTGACGTTCACGGACAACTCAATGAAAGCATTCGGACCCCGTGTGAACGTTCGGCAAAGAGCTTTACGTGTGGGCAACATGTGACAGCTTAGCATTAATATTTAAAACGTCCGAAGTTGTTGTTAAATGTGGTAATTCAACTGAAGACTTACATACACTTCTCACGAAAACACGAATCTATGGCTTTATGCTGGAAGATCTGCCGAATGTATGAGGTCCTTTATTTGAACACGACATTATCTCAAACACGAAACCCCATGCCTTCCAAATTCATTGAGTGGGCCATATACGTACAGCCCAGTCACGTGTGTTCAATTCAGGGTGCGTGATCTGTGCGTGCAATCACCGTACACGTGCTGCTCAATGGAGTACGTACGTGATCACGTGTTTTCCATTTGAACGTCACGCGTGTGTTCGACACAGTCCACGTGTGCGTCACGTGTGTGCTCTGCGCGCGCCACGTGCGCCGTGTGCGTCACTCGCCTGCTCTGCGTGCGTCACACGTGTGCTCTGCATGCGTCACACGTGTGCCGTAAGCGTGGGCCGTGCGTGCGTCGCGGTGGGCCACGTGCAAGAGCCGCTCGTCCGTCACGCATGTCACCTCGTGCTTGCGAACCCTCGCGACTGTCCCACCGCCCCCCCACCACTCACCCGGATGCCCCCGATGCGGTGCTCTCCGTGGAACTCCCTGCCATTCTTGAACCACACGATGGAGGGTATCGGCATGCCGGCGGCGGGGCAGCGGAACTTCACGGTGTTCCCGGCGGGCACGGCGTGCAGGCGCTTCTCCATCTTCTCCGGATGGGTCCAGTAGGGCGCGCTTGCTGGGGGGGGGGGGGGGGGGGGGGAGGAGACAAACGGGGGGGGAGGTAGTGTGTGAGGGTCACGCTCGTCACATACAAGGGGCTCGCCACAAACGAACCGCGACACCTTGCCGATCTTGTCAAGGAGCGTAAACCGTGGCTAACCGCTGGACAAGGACGGTCACCACGACGCGCACTTTCAGATGCGCTTCTGCGGCAGTCTGGAACGCTTTTGCCTTCCTATATATAGAAGCCACTGGAGCGATGCACTTTACATCATCTCGATTGAAAGCTCATTTCGTTAGAACTGCTTTTTGCGTTTAGTTTCTTGTCCTTCCCCCACACCGCCAATTAGCAAGGTTGGTTACGTGCAGTGCCAAAGAAGTTCAACATCTAGACAGCACTTGCAGCACTAGGGTGCTCCCCAGTGGGCCCATGTACCCCACCGTTTTAAAGTCTCTTTATTGGAGCCTTCTGCCCATTCATGTCTGGAATCCAAGGTCTGACAAATGGGTTGCTGGAATCCAGAATTTATACCCCTTTTAAAAATCAGCTTTCAAAAGGAGGGCACGCGTGGCTATGGAACCGTCCGTGGCTGCGGACACAACGGCGTAGGCTGTCCCTCCGCGAGCCTCACGCTCGTGTTCGCACGATTACAAACAAATTTCTTTCTGCGACGGCAAAATGTATTTGCACGATTGAACTTACGTGGATTTAAAAAGACGCTGCCAAGCGGATAGATGGATCGTGATAGTTTAATACCCGTTTAAAAACGCATTTTAATATCTTGAACAACACGCAAGGATGCAATTGCCAACGGAATTATTGGAATTAAATCTACGTGAAAGAACAACTTCTCAAAATCACGCACACAACGCATTTCTGTCTCTGCTTGTGTCCCACGAAGATTTACCGAATAAACGGCGATGCTCGGTCATTGGACTGGTCTGGGTGGCTTGCCGGGTTTGACAGCACACACTCCGGTATGTCATATTCAGCATTCCACTGCTACATTGCTGGAAAGGCAAGACGGCCCCACTCTCCTTTTCTACTGTCGGCAGGACAATGACAACAAAGCCGGACCATGGCTACGGCTTTTGAGACGCCACTGCTGCCAAGCACATGGGAGCGCGCGGCAACGTCGAGAGTTGGCATGAGGGCATCGAGGGATTGAGCCGGCACCACCTGCGATACTGGGGTCAAAAACATCCAAGTGGATAAGCTCGGCAATCGTTTTCCTCTCGCGCAAAAACCCTGCCCGTCTGCGGCGAGACGCCAGGGGGGGGTTTATTGTTTTGGTCAGCTGGCAGGACTGTGCACGTAATTCACTCAAACGCACAAGAAAAGCCCCGCAGTGTCACCCATGGGCTGGGCACACTCCGCATCCGTACCTTTTCCGGAGCGTGTAGGTGACGACCACCGCGTGGGACAGCAAGGAGTTACGCATTTCCAAGGCACATCCCGTAAAGCATCAACGTACCAGAGGGCTGGCAAGAGTGCGTCGCTTCCCGCATGGGTCGCGCACAGACGAAGAGACGATGGTCACGCGCCTGCCAGTTTTTTCCCCCCCACGTACGGGGTAACACGCACACATGCTAATCTTACACGTGTTTCACATTCGGGGAAACGTTTTGTCTCCGTATATTTATTCAAGGACAGCATGCGCCAATAAGGAAATATCTAAAGGATTTTAAGAGCTCAGCAGATGTGCTCTCGGTGTATTTTTTTCTTCTGCACATGCATTTCCCAATCTGCATCTGGGAAATGAGAGAGCGCAATCCACACAGGTGCTCACACACACACACAGGACTCAATTCTCAACCGCCCGTGTAAAATCGCCTTCCCCAATCGAACTCACGTCTACGCTCGTCATCACTGGCAGCGCTGAGCCACTGGTGAAAATTCCACATTTCCAGTGGCGAGTATATCTAGAGGCGAACCATAGCGGACTTCCCACAAAAGTGAAACTTATTTTAATCGCCCCTGGGAGGAGGGCTGAAGGGCCGACTCGATCTCCGACCAGTGCTTTAAACCCGGCAGGATACGCACACCAAAAAAGAGCAAACCGTAACCAAAATGTTCAAAGTCAACTTCAACGTTGAACCTCAATTACCAAAATATACAGAAGAGGAAACCATGTGAACATCGGACAGACCTCTCTGGAGCCCAGTGGGGAAGAAGCTGGGGGCGGCGGTGGCCCTCATGGTTAGTAGCGCTACAACTTACAAACTCCCAAAGCACACAGAGAAGATTGTTCAGGCTCAAACACTGATCCACCCCAACGGCCTCACACACACACACACACGTGTAAAAACAAAATTCTAAACAATTCTGCTCATTGCTTCGGCAATCCGCTGAGACGAGCAGTCTCTCTTCACATGTACATCAAGACCCCCCCACCCCCTCCACCCCCCCCCCCGTGTACAAAACCTCATGGATTAGATCGCAAATGTAACGTTACGGTCGCGAACAAACTTCTCCATTCCTCACGCCGCCTTGGCCGTAACGTGGAGAGAGAGAGAATGCTCGGCCTCCAACGTCCACTGAACGTGCGTGTCTGCCGTTCGCAAGGAACATCTCGGGTTGGCCGAGCTCTGAACAACACACGGGTGAAATTTAATACAACGTACACACGGCGTTGGCAAACACTCCTTAACGCTTTGCAGCAATGACCCGAGCCCATCGCGGCCTACGACGGGCGCCGAAATTCGATTCCAATTCACGGTTCACATCCCGCGATGATCCACGCTCCGCCGGCAAGCGACACGACCCTCGGGATTAGCCCCCGTCTCTCACGCCCGGGGGGGGACAGCGTCGTCCCTGAAAAGGTCGTGTCACGGTCTGCCCACGCGACAAATCCGTGCAAGTTTTGGCAGGGCCGCGTTTGCGGTCGCCAAACCTCGCGCGCTTCCACCATCAAAACGCCGCCGCCCCCCCCCCCACCGCCACCCCACCCCCACCCCCCACCAAGCGCCCGCAGCTGTAGCCATTGAGAAATTGGGGGAAATTCTCTGCCGTCCGCCCGCGAGTGCCATCGGCAGCGGAGTTTCTCCGAACGCAGGGCGCGCAAGGAGACGGGGAGACGAGGGCGCGCGAGGAGGAGGAGACGAGGGTGCGAGGAGGAGGAGACGAGGGTGCGCGAGGCGACGAGGGTGCGAGGGAGGAGGAGGCGACGAGGGTGCGAGGAGGAGGAGGCGATGAGGGCGCGAGGAGGAGGCGACGAGAGTGCGAGGAGGAGGCGATGAGGGCGCGAGGAGGAGGAGGCGACGAGGGTGCGAGGAGGAGGCAACGAGGGTGCGAGGAGGAGGAAGCGATGAGGGCGCGAGGAGGAGGAGGCGACGAGGGTGCGCGAGGAGGAGGAGAAGGCGACGAGAGCGCGAGGAGACGAGGCGACGAGGGTGCGAGGAGGAGGCGACGAGGCTCCGCAAACAAAAAGGCTCCTGGGATCATTGCAACCACTCAGTCAAGATCCTTTCATTTTGCGCTATCTTTGCTCCCGGGTTTTGGGTAAATATTTACATCCTATCTAAATGAGTCCAAGCCTATGGTGTCCGTCCAACACAAATATACAAGGGAACACTTACGGCCGTGCCGAAGCATAATTCATGCCCGGAACAAAATAACAAGTATCTTAAATACTCCCACCTGGTAATCAAAGCAGGTTTGATCCGAGTGCCATATCTTTTTTGTTTAAACATAACCTCCATTGCTTTGTTTCAAGCTGCATCAAACTCCAGTAATGAATTTATTTTCACTTGCCCACTGCTATATTTTGTGAATTAAGCTTCAGTGCTATAATGCAAATCTACCTATTAAATGGCAGGCCCTCGGCAGGAGTAAACACACACGAGAGTAATTGTTAGTCTCTCAGACTTCTGTAGACATTCTCCCTGTAACTTACAGTACACTATAGGGTGTACGGTCTGTTCTCCTACAAATGCGGCAGTAGTTGCGTTCCTGAAGAACACCGGATTATGCAAAAATCGCGTTATAATAAATAAAGTATTAACATAGAGGTAAAAGCACAGTCCGCGATAACACGTCAGATGCCACATGCAGCCTCAACAAAGACAGAGGTGCATCCAGCAGCATCCCGCCTTGCGTGATGCTACGCCGAGCCAGCCGTACGACCGCTTATTCCTCATCGCGTGACGTGGCTGTTCGCTCGATCGCGTCCTATACAATTCGCGTCCACGTCGGAAAAATTGTGTTCGGTAATGGGTTCAACGCGTTATATCCAATTCGCGTTATGAAAACAACAAGCGGCATTAAATAGTCGAACGGACTTGTACATGCGTTGCGATGTGACCAGTGGTTCAAAGCACTGCGGCTTAGCTTCAAAAGTGACGTGAACGAGCAGAGCAGAGCAAACGCGTGGAGGTGAAGTGTGGGTTTGTATGGGCAGAGAGCTTAGATGTGAGGGAGCACAGAAGTGCAGCGCAACGAAGGATTTCACCGCACTTCCCCCCCTGCTGATCCCTAGGTAGCCTCGCAACCCTATAACACCTGTTATGCACGATAAAATCGCCCACCCGAGCACAATCCAGATTGAACCCTGCATAGCTTACGAGATTGGGCACGTTCCGATGACTCCCCCTCTTCAGGACATTTTCAATTCCCCGGCCTCGGATGAGAAGATGTAAGGCCCCGTGGCTGGACTTTGCCTTTAGGGTCCGGGCACAGAATGAGAGCTCACCATAACAATGAACGCGCGCGAGAGTTAATATTCGGGCGTGTATGGAACATTAGCACGTGTCTGTGCACGGGGCCCACTCCTTCAAACTCGAGTCTCTCTCCATCGCAGCGCATGACATCGGAGGGCATGTGGTCACACACGGGCAAAATGTTTCATGTCAACTCATGCCAATGCCCTTTTTTTTTTGTCAGGACGCAAAGCCACAAAGTGCCAACTGGGCCACATTATTTATTAGCAGCCTCGCCCCCTTGTGGCACGGAGACAAAAAGGTCCCCGCGCCGCCGTGGGGGTTCAGATGCAAATTTCCGATGGTGTAAACGCCCAAGATTCGACAGCCAGGTTACCAAGATTGCATAACTCCTTCCGTGCACGGATGAGCACAGCGCCACTGTGCACTTTGACATCATTCGTAGAGATTCAAACAGCGCTGTAATTGAGCAGGTACAAAAATATTCCCGCACGTAGTACTTTCATAGCATCACGACCAGCTAACTTAGTGCTTCGCTGTTCGACAAAATCGGACAGATGTTGCCAATAGCCTTTTTGTCAATCCACTGCTGGATGAAGGCCACCGCACGCGGTGTTGGTCACGGAGAATGTTTTGACCATACTTCCCCGCGCTGGACAGTGCGGGTTGAAGTAAAGGGGAAGGAGAGGCCAGGGAACCAGTTTTATCACTCCACCGATGTTCGCCGTGGCCAGGAATTGAACTCGCACATCAGGGTTCAAAGTGCAGTGCGCTCACCGCTGCACCGATGTTCCACACGCCACCCCCGTCTGGGAGTACGGACACCGGCGCCTACAAAGCACTCCGCAGGTTTGCGCTTTCGCTCGCGGCCCAGAATGTGGGCGCAAGGGTCGGGGGAGTTATCTCATGCGCGGTGGCGGCACGCTTAGTCCCGTGAGTGCGAGTGTGTGTGCACGTGACGTGCCCCGGGACGGTCAGTGGGTTATCTTTAAGTGCCCAAGGGGTCGTCAAGCTCTTAGCCTTAAATCCCTGACCATTCCCTCTCGGTCGTGACCCACAGAGACCCAGGCAAGCAGCACACGCACACACCCATCATTCATCATCACCCGCTCCCCCTCGCACACCTTGCGGTTGTGACGCTGTAATCTCTGTCCCAGCCCCGTGGTGTACAAACTCTCTGGCTGCTTTTCGCCCCTGAAACCACCCCCTCACCCTCCACCCCCACCCTCACCCCCAACACTCAGCCCCCCACCCCAAAACCCACCTGAGATCATCTGCCCAAACTAAATTCAAGGCTGCTTTCAGTCACTTCTGCCAGACTGAGTAAACGCCCGCCCTTTACAGAGACGCTACCGCCGCCACCACCGCCGCCACCCCGATGTTGATCCCCTTCAAATTCCTGCTGTCGCCTCCTTTCGGCACACACACACACCGAAACGCCGCGAGCGGTGGGGGGGGGGTCGGCTCGGTAACGGCCCCCCCCCCCCTCTCGCTCGCGCGCCCGACAACACCACAAACGCCTCTCTATTAGGTGGGTCCACGGGGGCAGGCCCACGGGGACTCTAACCGCAAATTCATCTTGCTGCCACTTACGAGAATAAAAAATGTACACTAATAATAATAATTTGTTGGTGCGCAAGGGAGGAGGAGAGACACGGCACAGTAACGTGGGCGTGCGTTAACGTGCAGGTGCGCGTACCACGTGCGGGTAACCACGTGGTGCGGGCAGGCTACGGAGCACCCTCCTTTGGCTCGGGAAAAACAACCAAAGGCGCATGTTCCGACAAAGGTCGCACAAAGAACTAGACAGATGCATAATTAATCCACATTCGTGCTGCACTACGAGACAGAGCCTAGCCGTACACGGTTGTTACGTACAGAGGTTGTGCCGATACAGTCGATGAGCGCATCGCAAGTGAGCCGTTGCGTACGGCGAAGCGGCGACGTGGTGTTTAGTAGCGCCGCGCCATGCACCTGCGGTTGTGTTCCCGCCACGGCTGACAACGGCGGTCTAGCGATATTAAAAAAAAATGGTCCTGGATCCCCCTCTTTTGCTAATCCACACCGATCAGTATGGCCAAACAATGGCGAATGACAGCGGCGTGCGATGGCGAGGTTGTTGGAAGTGGATTACTGGAGATGGGCGGGTGCCGCCGCCGGTGGAGGAATGAATCGTTGGTAAAAACTATTATTATATAAACAATAAAAAACATGCTGCGATATTCTCGCAGTGCAGAGACGACCTAAGACAAATTGAAATGGCACGAGAGTGAAAAACTCATGGCAATGGTACCTGTGTGGGCCCGCACATCCGGGTTAGACTCTTGGCCATGGTTCACGTCAGTGGCGAGTGATAACCGTGCAACCTCCTCTTCCCCAACAACACAAGGCATCAATCCACACTGACCAGAATGGTGAAGTATGGTCAACCCCCCCACCCCCATGGCCAACACAGCATGGGGAGGTCTTCATGAAGTCATGGACTGACAAAGGGCCAAACCATTACAATCAAAACAATATACTGTATTCCAAAACGTGAAAATTGCTTCATAAGTTTCCCAATATTTACACATTTACTTCATTACTTTAGCATCACGTTCCACATGTTGTAGTATGATATTGAATGGCGATGGGTTTATCAAAAAAATACATATTCTTGGGGTCTTTCGGTAAAGTCACATCGATGGTTCAAAGAAAATAGCAATCTGATGATCGCTTGCACTGTGATCGAAACGTCGTAGTTTTTCGTTATTTTCTTTGAACCTATCTAGGTGACTTTACCGAAAGACCCAAAGAATATTAATTCCTGCAGTCACGAAAGCTTTAAGTCAAGATTAAAAAGAAATACACTTTAGCAAACGTAAGAGTAAACTCTGAAGGTGCAACGTTCATTGCCCTCTTCTCGTTGTGGTCCCCTCTCCTTGCCGGGCGTGTGCCAGATAAGGCCTCTCTCAGAATTAGGTCCTCTTGATTATGCCGTCTGCCACGTATGCCGCGCAGCTGCCAGGGAATGCTCGGCAGGCGCTGAATGCTGACTGCAGAAATCTGGTAAGCATTTGTCTGCCCGACGAGGCAATCACTCATTGCGCTGCGCGATGAAACAGAGGCTGGCACTGAATGCGAAGCACGCACCGGCCGCGAGAGTTGCACGAGAGCTCTGTCCGTCGGTGGCCTTTTTATGCGCATTCCTAGGTTATCGTGCGCTTGCGCGCACAAAGTGCGCTGCTGCTGCTGCTGTGAATTCCGGCACCAGGACGGTTCAATTACGTGCCAAAAAAAAAGCAACAGCGGCGCACGCTCGACAGAAATCGCCAGCGAACGGAGTGGCCGGCGGGTTCACGCGCTCGCGATCAGCGTTGGCTCGCACGAGGAGTTCGATCGTAGTGAGTCGACTCGACCTCAAATGAGTACCTGGTGCGGTGTGTAGTAAACATCGTCACTGGGGGGACGAAGGCGGTCCGGGCGTGGTGCTGGCCACCCAAACCCCCTCGTGTGCTGTGCCGGCCTTCATTAGGTGCTACTCGCTAACAGCACATGCCCCAACAGTCTGTTATAGCTATATGGGACAGTCTTTGTGTGTATGTATGTGTGTTGAACTTCTTTCGTGCCGTACGTAGCCGACCCTGCTAATCGGAGGTGCGTGCGCGCAGTGAATTAGCAAACGGTGCAATTACAAATCCTTCTGCGTTATTTATAGTGATGACGTGCATCGAGCCACAGGCAGCCTGCACGGATATAAGTGAGGGGCCTAATCGTACAAGTTAATCAAGGTGAAGGTGCAGCCCTGCAACTGCTCACTAACGACACTGCTGGCGGAAGGGCCTCCACTAAAGGGTGCTCTACTAGCGCGCAACTTTGGAGGGTATTTGGCCTCTTCCATTCATGCCTTGGAAGAGTTGGGAGTAACCACACTTTATCCCACCACAAGCGACCTGCCGATCTCCGAACATACATGAATGACATGACGTCTAACGAGGTTGCACTCGTCAATTTCGTGACAAATTACGTTGTTATAAAGAATTACACGTTTGAAATGCAAGTTTAAGCATCAAGAGGCAGGCGGTGATGAGGTGGTTGGAGGTCTAGCAGCTGTGATGTGTGTGTGTGTGTTCACCGCTGCCTAAAGTTTCCAATGAAGAAGAATAGTTTGTTCAGCAACAGGAAGCCAAAAATATAAAGTCGGACAATAACACTTAAATAATAACGTCACGTCATTTCAACCAAAGTTATATGAAATACCGTTACGCATTCAATTGTTAAAGTAGAATGCACAATGATGTCTCGCATCAAATACACACTGGGCACAGGGGTCAACAATACACTTGTTGCACGGACACTAAGTGTCAGGTAAACACAGTTGAATGCAACATTTAGGACACCAATAATACTTCTGATTATCGTGCCAGGAATCTAGATGTAGGGATGCATCGCATTTGCCTAATACGTGTTTGTACTCAATTACATTGTATTTATCACAAATATATATTTAAGTGACAGCTATCATACTTTGCATGTATAGCTCCAATGCCTACAAAGCTCCACCCATACTCCCACTTCACAAGGACGTTTCTGTAAAATAACAGGAGGGCTGAAGTTAATATTTGAAGTTAATATTTGAAGTTAATATTCTAAAATGAAAACCACTTCGAACGATCATATTTTAAGGACTAGGTTCGATAAAACGCGTGCTTATTTTTTACAATTTTTTAGGAGCCCCCCACCCCCCCCCCCCGGGACCCCCCACCCACCCCCTCCATTAAAAAAAACACTCACCCCCTTCATCAGGGTCCATGGCCGTTTCATCCGAGCCATCGTCACCTCCCTCATCGTCACCCGAGGAAAGGGATTCTGCAACGAGCGGCGGGGTTGGTTAGAACTATCACAGCAGCGGCGGTAGCGGCAGCGCCACGCTCGCACGTCAGCGCAGGCGCTAGGCGCTTGGCTCCCCCACTACGACACCACCGGGCGCACGGTTGCCTTGCTTCGAGCTTCCCTCACCCTGGCATACGATCAACGCCGCTTGGTGTAACAACACACACAGAGAGAGAGACGTGCGATGGATCGACAAAAGCTTTCCTCGGACTCTTCCGCCATCTCCAAAGAACTTGCATGTTTGTGGCTATTTAGTCGTTTTCGAACGCCAGCCCAACTGAGAAAATGTAACCAAAAACACAAATGGACACATTTTCTGAAAAATACTTTTTAGTCGGTGGTCTACACCAACAAAATGCCCCTGCATGCAGTTCTTCGGAGCCGGTGGTCCGCAGAAGGCTGAGACAACTTTTGTACAGGCAATGCACGTCCTTGTGTGTTGTTAAACCGATGCGTTGTCCGGCCCGCACTAATCGTTCTGTCGCGATGGGTTTGCTCTTCATTTACAGATTTGAATAATCGCACTTCTCTAGCCTGATCTAACAATCTAAGATGGCAACAATAAAACAATATTCAAGTAAAGCAAATACAACCTCAAACAACCAGTGAATAAAATTTTGACTTTAAACTTTCGTGACTGCAGGAATTCATATTATTGATTCTGTCGGTCAAGTCACGTAGATAGCAAATAAAATTAAAATAATAAAATTTTATACGCCTTTTATTTTATTATTTTATTTTCTATCTACGTGACTTTACCAAAACAACCAAGAATTTGAACCAGTGATTTATTCCTTTCCCAAGTACCACAGCCATTGATTATGAATTCCTCAGCAACGCTCCGGGAGACAGGGAAGCAGGAGGACAACCCGTGTGCCACATTAACTTACGAGGAAAATTTAAATCCTTAAAAATGGAACCCGTTTATTTTTTTACTTACACAAGTTACATTTCACCTGTGTAAGAAACGATGCACCATTCTCCCGTAGAAGGCGATTTTGACATTTAGTCCAACAGGGCTCAATGGAAAATAGGCACAACCTGCAGTCCTTCCTAAGCTACCCGTTTTTGCAGCTGCATTAAAAAGCCAGTTCGAATGTGTATGCTCTGCGTTTTTAAGTAATTGTTATAATGGATCTGCGCGGGGAGAAACGAGAAGGTGGAATTTTGGCGACTTTATAATGCGTAGCATCAACAACATCGGCCTTGGTGGTCTCCGTGACAACAACAAAGAGCAATGGGCCGGTGTCATCAGAAGCCACTCAACCAACGCCCTACTCTGGGTCGCTATATTATTTTTTTCCGGACAATGGAATGATTGAGAGTCAAAGGGAGTTTATCTGGCAAACATGTGCCGAGTGCTATTTTTAAATGTTAGTACAGCAAAGAGCTGCGCTGTTGTTGGCAGTGGTATTTTCGAATGTCCTGCTGAATGCATCTGTAAGGCAAACACTGGGCCCACGTGTGCCGCATAAAGGCCACGGCCGGTTGTTTTTGGACCAATCACACGTGCATCAATCTTCACACCTCGTACCCCGTGTGTCAGCGCTCTTACGATTGCTCTTTTACCAGTGCGAGTTTTGATGCTGCTACAACGCATATTTAGTGTATTTTCTTTACAAGGTTATTTTTAATCTGCAAGGCGGAGTAGGTGACATTTTAAGGCATTCATCATCGCTGGCCAAGGGATCTCATCAACATCCAGAGTAATGAAGCACCTCGCTGATGAACAGAACTTTGAATGCAATGTAAAGTGAGTGCTGGGACATGGCAACTGAACCTGTGAATCTTGCTTCATTTCAACATTCCATACGCCTTGTGTTTGTTTGCAAAGAGATTACTAGCCATTAACTAACGTATTTGTTCAGCTGGACAACCTGGTGGTCTGTGTTCTGCGACGGAATAAATGTTCCACATGATTCAGCAGTTCCCAGTACCAAGGCCGCAAGGCAAGTTCTACGTGGAATTTTCACCACAGTGTGCCACATTGGCATTAAAGCCAGCCCCCAACCCTCCCTCCGAAGCCACCATTCACATTAGCGAAGCGACAAAGTGGCAGTCGTAACACAGAGTGCCGGCTATTTTTGAAAATGACCCAATGAAAATTGGGAAAAAGGGTAAGACGCAGCCGTCTCTACACAACGACCATTACACGACCCACGTGACCCACGGAAGAAACAGCAATGACTCCGTGGGCTCTCACCGTGCCAAATAAACGAAATCAGTCGATCAAGAGAGTGGTCGTTTCATTTTTCGATTTAAAGCTTTCGTGACTGCAATGATTCATCTTCTTTGGTTCTTTCGGTAAAGTCACGTAGAATGAGAATAAAATAATAAATTGATAAAATAAAATAACACAATAATATTCTCACAATTGTGTTATTTTATTTTATCAATTTATTATTTTATTCTCATTCTACGTGACTTTACCGAAAGAACCAAAGAAGAAGAGTGGTCGTTGCATTATTAGGAAGCCACTGTAGCTATGCACTTTTAAATCTAGATTGAAAACTAATTTCTTTAGAACTGCTTTTTGTGTTTAGTTTGTTGACTTTCACCCCCCACCCCCGCACCTTCGAGTAGCACGGTTGTCTACGTATGGTGCAAAAAGAAGTTCAACATACATACAGAGATTGAGAGATCAAACATAGACAGGGTTTCTAACATTCCGCGCAGCTGCAAAGTGCGAGTGCCCCTTCACGGAGGCTGCTAAGGTTCCAGTGGTGACGAGTAACCACCGCCGGCTGTCCCCGCTCTCTTCTGCGGGCGCTACCCCCAGAAGGAACCGAACCCATTCAGTTGGCGCCCGCTGCCCTCGATCGTGAAGCCATCTGCCCCATCGTTCCGTCACAAATGTGCATCTGCTCCTAATCTGTCCATCTGTCAGCACGCAACGCGCGTTGAAGTCAGATTAAAGAGTGGACCGGCCACTCCCCACGGAAGACGTCCTCCGTCGTGAACACACACCTCCTCCTCAATGGACTGCCCCTGCATCCCACCATGAATATATTTAGCTATATTAAAAGGTAAAGCTATTTACCAACTCGCTACATTGGCTCATTTAATTTACAGAAATAATGTGAATGATCTGTTTCTTCAAATATATGCATGTAACTGTGCAGCCCTATGAACAAAGTGTATTAAAAGGGATGCATTGGCAAACAGTGGAGTGGTGTGGTTCGGCTAATGTTTTATGATCTCCAATTGAGGGTTCATGAATGTTAGGAATGATTCATGTGGCACAATAGCGATGAAGCAAGTTAAAATACAGTAAATATACACACATAGATACACATATCTTACTCCTACACGGATCAACAACAACCACCACCACCGTTCATGACTAAGCGGCGGTGACATTACCATGGCGATTGTGCCATGCTAGGTGCACTTCTAGGCCACGCCAAGTGTCGAAGGCCCGCTGGCAAGAGGTCACGGAAAAGACCCGGGTGCCATGGGTTGACTGACTGAGATGACCGGCAGATGCACCAACTGTGCTTCCCACTGTGGCAACACCCTGCGTTTTAGCCGCCCGGTGCTCCGCTCGTTATTGTGAGTGTCGCTCCTCTGCCCTTCGTTGTTTCTGCTGGAGGGGGACTGCCTCCAACTCCCCAGCAGCATCCTTCACAAACCTCCTCCACAGAGGCTGATCTTGACACTGCTGGTACCAGTCATCGGCGAGTCCAATCAGCTCCAACATCCTTCTGTACCATCTATCCGGCCGAATAGATGTTGCTTGTGGCATGGAGTAGCTGAGAACGCAAGCTACATACACAATGCAAGCACACACACACACCTACATGTGTGTGTATGCAATTACGAATAGTTTATCTCCCAATAAACTGCCACAAAATGTTCACGATACTATCAATAACGTCCATTTGCCAGTCGTATATTGGCTACGTTTCTATGAAAGAATGAAAGAGAAGCCTCAAAGTACGGAAATTATTTTTCAATGAAAAGCACAAGCACCGTATCTCCAATGCGAGTAATGAACTGCAGATGCGACAGCGATGCAGCATTCGTGAAAGTTTAATGGCTTTGCAATGCATGCACACACACACACACAAAGATGGCTTCTGTAGTTTCGTTAAGACTGTTGAGGAAAGTGCAGCTCACGAGCACCTGTTGCACACGGGGCTATTGTCGTACACAACAGATCAGGAGCTTATAAAGCAGAGCTGACTTTGTGACGGAAGGTTCACACTGAACAGACGCGTTACTATTCGTCACCCGCTGAACGTGCAGCCGAGGACGTGGTCATCCGTTGGGGACGGAGGTTGCGCCGGCCAATCAGGCCCACAGACGTGCTCACACTCTGACACCTACCTGCTCATCCTCACGCCAGAAGCCTTAGGCCTCCCTCGCGTGTGAACACACCCCCCCCCCCCCCCCCCCGTGTGTGTATACATGCGTCGTGCGCGTGCGAAGTAAGCGCATTAAGGTGCATCGCCTCGTCAATTGAAATCAGCTCTGACGCTCGCGATACGTGCATCGAATCATTCATTTGGAGAATCGCTTATTTATGACGTAAGAAAATTAGACGGGAATTATATGCTAAGGTTTAGGATACACCAATGGTGCGAATGAACAATACTTTACATGAGAGACAAAGAACCAATGAGAGACAACGCAAACGAGCGATAAAAGACGAGACGCAAAAAAAAAACGAACGCAAGTCGAATTGCTACCTCTAATAGTGACTCTTCATCGAATTGCGGAGGTGTGCGAATCATTACGTTCCTAACTCGCGGCAGAGCCCTAACCGACTCGGGAGAGAGAGTGGGGTGGCCGTTTCCAATGCAACCGGCGGGGTGGTCCGGAGAGCGACGCTGGCGCATGGCGACGTGAAAATAAGGGGGGGGGGGGGGGGGAGGGAGGTAGGACGACACGCCACCTACCCGAGACGACGACCGTGAAGTTGGCCCGCACGGGGCCCGACGGGCCGGACGTCGAGCAGCTGTAGACTCCCGAATCGTCGAGGGACAGCTCGGAGATGTGCAGCTCGAGCGACGAGAGGCGCGTGCGGTTGGACGCGACCAACGCGGCGCCGTCCTTCGTCCACCCGACGGAAGGATCGAAGCGGTAGCGCGAGGCCGGGCAGCGCAGGTGCAGGGCCTCGCCCACTGGTAGCAGCAGCTCCACGGTGGCCAGCGGCGGCCTCTGCAGTGCGGCTGCGGGACAAACGGTGCACAGACGCACGCGATCGTGAACCACCAGCGCACGCACGCACGCACGCACACACGCACGCACGCTGGACCCTGCGGCAACTATGTTTCGTTAAAAAAATATATTATTTCCAAAGACGACGTCGCCGGAAAATTTCGCTTGGCTTTCAAGTACCAGGGCATGTAAGTGCTGTAATGGCACACAAATGCGTCATTATAAATCGATTATTGTTATTACTAACACAATAATGCTTGGAATTGTACGTGTCAGAATGTCCTACGTGTATTATTTATGCAAATTACGAGCAAGAGATGTAGGTTCCTGTTAGGAGTTAGGCCAATGGAGCAAAACATGAAGTCACAAATATCTGACAGAACAATCGTGAAGCAATACAAACAAGATCGTATCATGACCATGGACCTCAAACCATAACAACTGTTCAATGCCTTTCACACAGATGAGCAGAGAGAGAGAACGATATCACAATTTCTCCTCCCGCCCACACACACACTTCAAATGATGCACTGGACTGCAATTAAAAACCTAATACCGCAGGGAATGTATATACTAATCAATCAATCAATGCTGCACATAAACCCGGCAAAAGCTAACCAAAATATAACACAAAGTGCTCTTCTGTTGTGATGGGTTTTCTCGTGATTCATTACAGATTTGACTAAGCGGGAGGAAAGTGTGGGGGGGGGGGGGGAAGAATGTAATGTGTTGGGATCGGCCACGATTGGAAAAAGTGCATATTCAAAATAAATCCTAAACGCGAGGACAGGATCACACGCACGTAATAATTGTTACAATAAATGGTAACAATCACAACCCGTTAAAGTGAAATGGAGTCGAATGCCTGCTTAGCCGAATATATATTTTAAAAAAGTAGCTTTTTTGAGATGCCCCACCCGTCCACCCACCCCCCCCCCCTTCTCCATCTGTCAGCAGCTCTGGTGTTTGCTTGGATGTGGAGTCTCCAGATATTATCGGAGCTGCTGGGCCCCTGCTGCTCAGTGGGAGCCACTGCGAGTGTCTCTCTCTCTCTCTCACACACACACGCATTGGTCTGGAGCAGCCCGCCCTCCACCGCGTTACTCCCACCGGGCTTACCTAGAGAACCATCTGTGGTCACGTGGTGCATCCGTGTTTGTGCGTACGCATGAACTGCGCACCGGTGCAGGTGTTTAACATCTGCTCACTCCCCCATGTCATTCTTTCAGTCCCTTTTTTGTTTGTTGTCAATCCCATTGCTCATCCGCGCCGTGTGGGTCACGAGGCCGATGGTTTGGTGACGGGAAGGAGACCTCCAAACGGTTTAGTTATCGCTCGTGTTAGTTGTGACCAGGATCAACGCTCGGGCATCTGGATTCAGTGCACTGCACTGACATATATGCCGCTGATCCACCTCTTTACATACAGTACAAGGTTGCAGTAATAAATAACAAAAACCCAACATAACTTGCGCAGCGTTTATAAACCTTCATACGTTAGGAGCCAGTAACCAGCCTGTCGGTACCAGCCCAGCACGGAGAAAGAGCCTGCGTGACAGAAATTACTCAAGGAAGTGCTGCGACTTAGGCCCAGAAAAGGACCAAACGGAGCTTCACAACCTAGGTGCACCTTGCATGACAATTACCACGTATGTAAAATGTCAAATAATGTATAACATTGTTCATTCGTTTCGCAAGTCTTGCTTTTTTTAAGGCTTTTTCAGCAACCGCAAAAAATCTAAATTGCAACGCAGGCGACGAATTCAGACCACATGGTTTTGTTTAAGGAATAAAACCACTTTTCTTAACAGAGCATGTCGCACGCGTGCAACGGGCTCTTGGGATTGGCTATCGAGTGTAAGGCAGGGCCCACAATATTAGAAAAAAATTGCACTTTGTTAAAACAGTCCGACATCTATTTATTCTACGTTTTTTCTGAATAATCATATATATTTGTGGGGGCTTCAAGATCAAGAAAGAGGCTACCGTGCAGAATGGGCAGACGGGAGGTTGAAGATGATTTTGAAACCCTTCCCCGTGTTTGCGTGTCAGAACAGTGCTCCTAAAGTAATCAATCATTGTGGTATAACTACTGATCTTTTGGCATTCAGAATCCCACCTTACATTGTGGCCACCCTACCCAACATCTCCGTGCCAGTATAATTAATGATTAATCCCCAGATACGTTGCTCAAAAGCCTCTCTAATCAATAGGCCTTTGCACCCAGAGACGTGCATCTTCCCTCGTTAACTAATCTCTGCGCGAGTGTGCGCGCGTGTATCACTCGAGACTGAGAGGACACGACATGAGTGCCCCATCGCACATCGGTCCCGTCAAGAAAGGCAACTGGGCTTTGGCGGAACGCGTTGAAAGAAGGGATATAGTTGCCGACGGTTAAAGAATTACAGTCCGAGAGGGCGTCCACCGATGAGACGAAGCGATTCAATCAGCTCCTCGTGCGCGCAGCTCCCAGGTGGATTATGACACTGCTGGGGCGTGGGAGATGAAGACGGATTTGCAAAGCCTTCGTCCAGCAGTGGATTAACCATCTGGGTGGCGAGGTGCTAACCGCCCTCGCCTGGTATACGGAAGATCGTGGGTTCGATCCCGACCCAGATGCCTGCTGTATATTTGGAGTTTGCGTGTCTCTCTACCCGTGGTCGCGTGGATTTTATCTCCGCATCAGAATCTTGATAGAAACTGGGAGGAATCCGATGAGCTATGAAGCTTTTTTTCCCTGGATGCATTGATAGTGAGTCACCTGGCTGGCAATACTCATCATCTCGCCCGTCCCGCCCCTGTCACGAATATCCACCTTGTTCATTGGCGTGGATATCTACATTTTGTAAGAACTAAGTGTGTTGTTACTGGTTGGTTCAAGTGTATTTGTTTCTATATGTACGGTGTTGTGCGTATGTCTAAATTATATTGTGGAGACGATTACTCTGCATTGTTGTATGTACCAAGATAGGCATGTTTCACACCTCCGATTAGCACGGTTGGCTACACACTGTGCTAAAGCAGTTCAACATACAATTTACATACATAGCGCAACGGTAGCATACCAACCCCGCCAAGTTAGCCTGAAACTGATCGCATCGCTATTTCATCTTCGCTCAAGATGCATATATGAAAACTCGATATTTGCCGTGTAGGAACGGTATACATGGAAGTACGTAACTAATTAGAAGCGTAAAAAAAAAGAGTAATTAGAAGCGTGTTTTTTTGCGTACAACATTAAACAAAACACATTACCACACAACAACCAGTGAACGAAACAGTTATACATTTGATTAAACTGATGTGAAAAAAAAATTCATGTGAAAAGAACACTAATTCTTATGTAACCAATAGACGCATCCACTTGATTAAACAGTGCCTTAACGCGGTCACTCGGTACTTGCGAATATTTACAACGGCAATCCAACACCGCTAATTATACACAGAGGCCAATCTTGCGGCCGCCGCAGTGTGTCTAAAAATGTCACAGCGTGGTCAGAAGCAATGAAAACAAGGTGCAGAGGTGGAGTGGACACTTGCTTACATGGTGTGACTACGCAACAGGGCAGGTCACACCGCCGCCACTATGCAACAGGGCAGGTCACACCGCCGCCACTATGCAACAGGGCAGGTCACACCGCCACCACAAAGTTAGCACTCACGCTTGCATGCACACGGATGAACCACTCATCCCATACCTTCTCACACACACACAGATGAACACTCGCATACCTGCAGACACGCGCGCACACACACACACACACTTGCAGATGAACTCTCACATACCTTTACACGCAGGTGAACACTCGCATAACGCTTACACCTCCACACAAAAAACAAAGATCCCCCGTATAGCCTGTAACAGACTGTTGGGGCAAGTGCTGTTATGCACACGAGGGGGTGGGTGGCCAACACCACGTCCGGGGCGCCTGTATCTCCCAAGTGGCGATGTTTACGCATCGCACCAGGTACTCATTTGAGGCTGAGTCGACCTAGGCGAAGCCCAAGACCGGTTCAGATAATAGTCACCGGTGTTTGCCGTGAGCGAGAATCGAACTCGGGGCGCCAGGTTCGTAGCGCAGCGCGTTAACAGATGCACTACCGCCCCCTCCTACACCTCCACACAGACACACGCACCTTCACGCACACAACGCCTCGCTCGGTTAGCACGCGTGCATTACACCTACACACGCAGATAATACACGCATACCTTAAATGCACACAGACACAAAGGGCACCGTTTAGTTAGCCACGTACGCCGCCACAGTGAAAACACAAAGAGACTCGTGTCTGGTCTGTGCGACTCGGAAGTTCACAGCGCCGAGCTGGTAATGCTGAGATCCTGGGGCTCGAATGGGGGGGGGGGGGGTAGCTGCTGGTAATGAATCGAGAGTCCGCAACCGCAGCGAGCCAATGCACCGATTTCTGGTCACCGAGCAATTGCTGCATTTATCTGGGGCGTAGACACTCCACGAGGACACACACACACAGACACACGTAGCAAGGACAAAGCAAGCGGTTGCCTTGGCTGGCCACTGTTGGGGCAAGTGCTGTTGGCGAGTTTGCACCATCGAAGGGCGGCACGGCACACGGAGGGGGTGGGTGGCCAACACCACGCCGGGCCGCCTTTGTCTCCCCAGTGGCGATGTTTACACACCGCACCGGGTACCCATTTGAGGCCGAGTAGACCTAGGGGAGGCCCAGGACCAGTTCAGGTAATCGTCACCTGGTGTTGGCCGTGAGCGGGAATCGAACTCGGGTTGCCGGGTTCGTAGCGCAGCGTAGCGCTAACCGCTACACCACCGCTCCGCATATTCATAATACGCTGCCCCCACCCGCCGCCACCTCCAAACCCCTTTCCTGAGCCCCCTTTTTTCTGGCACAGCATCACTTTTGGAAGTGCGCCTTCACACACACGCACACACACACACGCGCCCGCACGCCCACCCACACTCAACTCGCTCACTCACGCGCGCAGCGCTGACAATAAAAAAAAGCCACCACCACCAGCA